TGGGGGTAGAGGTAAACTGCCCAGAATGTGATGACAACATGGGTGTTGAGTGATGCTCTGCTCATAATTGACACATCTGAGCACACAAGAGTTCATTTCATCCTCGATATCACCCTAGGGATCCACACCAGTCACAGCTGGTGCAGAGAGGTATAAGACATACTGCCCCATTGGCACCACGGTTATTCAATTCATGGGTTAGCACTGCTGGGGAGCAGGAGAGGTGCCTTCATAGGCCACTCAAAGGTGTTAAATTGGCACACATCATAGCTGCCCTGGTCCTTCTCCCTCAGAAGAACTTGGGTCCTTTGGAACATGCTATCCACCAAGACAAAACATGCCACTGACATTTGAATAGCAGGCTAATGAACATGAAGAAGAAAAAAAAAAAGAAAAAAAAAAGAGTGGAGAGACAAGGTAAGACCTGTACCCAAACGTTTATTTATACAGGATACCTTTAGGTCAGACTCTCCATTGCCTTTCAAACGTGACATTAGAATACCCTGGGAATTCTGTTTTTAAATAGTCCGCTCATCCCTTACTCCAATAAATAAATAGTTAGCATATAGTGCTGCTAAGTCAAGCTGTTTAGCAAAGACATTTACTTCTGCACAGAAACTCAGCCCCCGTGGTGCAGAAGAGCACAGTAGTGTGCTGTGACCCAGCTCTCAGCCAAGAGGATGAAGAAGACATCAGAACAAAACAACAGGGCAGAGACCATTTTTGCTATACCCCAGGAAAAGCGGCCACGCAGTTCATTGGCTTTAATGTTTTGACTGGAAGTGGGAATAGTTTTTTAAAGGCTATTTTATCCAGTGAGAGAAGAAAAAGGGTATTACATGACTTTGCGCTCTGGATGCTGTTTGTAGAGAAGCCTTAAGTCACAGCCGGACTCCTACAAATTATTTACTATTGCAGACTGATATTGAATATACAACTTGAGGCAGAATCACAGAGAGCAGGTTTGTATGTACACAGAACTAAGCTTCACGTTCAGTCACATCTCTTCCAACTGACTGCAAGCATCTCTACAGTAAATATCCAAGGCTCAAACACCCCTTCGAAATTCATTAGCAAGCACAGCAAACAGCAGTGCTGAAAATAGCATCTTTCCATTCAGTGCAATGAGACCTACCCCGCTATATTATATGTTCAAAGAGGGAAGGGCAATCCTCTTCTAAACCTAGCTTCTCATGAACCTGAATCCAATCACACGTTCCCTTTGTAACAGCCATCTCTCTTGGTGCTGCTCTACAAAATCTACATCATATCACCACCACCTTAAAGGTCGGCTGTAATATTTCAATAAATAGAGAAACCGTGGTTTCCTTAAATCACTTGTATTCCTCTTGCTGCAGTCATTTTGGCTCTCCTCTATTGGTCTTGCTTAGCTCACTTTCATATGAATGTCAGATTTTGCATTTGCTGTGTGGTGTCATCTAGACTCCCGCTGTAAAACAGTTTGGTTTTTCCCCAGTTGGTGCACCAGATTAAGCATCCCCCCTCTCCAGAACAGAATGTAATTAAAGATCATGGGAAAATAACACACACACACTGGTCATAAAGTTAGAAAATTTCAGGTTTGGTTCTGCTTTCCAATTTTACATGCTCCACTTCACTTCTGTATATAAAGAGAAATGTAAATGGCTTTGGTCACTAGATATCTATTAACTCCTTGTGCATCAGATCCTGTGAAGCAGAGATGACAGCAAGATCCACAGAAGCTTATGAGGAAGGACCCATGCCTCACAGAATCACACCCAATTCACCAAAAATGAAGCCTTTTGCCCAAATGGTTCTCTCTCTGCTTACTGCACAATGGTTATGAAACATAAGCCAGAACTGTCTCTATGTTCATAGTGTACAGGAAAATGTTTCATGATATAGGTGAAATTTTTCATCTGAGAAGCCTGCTGGGATGATCACTTTGATAGTGTTGCAGCAGAAGAACCACTTGGGTCTGCAAAGGCCAGTGCTGGAGGTGCAGTGCTACAGCCGGTTTAAAGCAGAGGTTGCTTTGTACATCCCCACCTCAGCAGTGGCACCTCCACCTCAGGTTTGCTGGTGGTAGGTTGGAAATAACTGAGACCTTACTGTCTGTGGCTGTGGGGCGGAATGTCACCAGAAGAGAAATTAACTGCTTCTTAATTAAAAAAAAAAAAAAATTTTAAAAAGCTTAAACTGCTTCTACAGCAGGGATAAAAATATCATCAAATTGTCGTTTCTCATCACAAGAGTAAGCAAGAGGCAACTGTTGATATTCAGTGTCTCCTGACAAGTTCTGGAAAGGCAAAAACCCACCAGGTGATCTTCCACTGTGAAGGCAGGTGGCAGTGGGAAGGCAACTCAGGATCCACATCCCAAAGTCTACCATGGCTAAATCATATTCCTATTTGCCTCCTTTTTTAAAAGGAGAGAGAAGGTAACAGAGGTCACTGAGAAAGAAGCTGTTCATGCCACATCGTTTGACACACAGTATCACACAGACAGAATTTATGACTTATCCAACCTGTACAACATTGTTTGTGGCGGATTTCTAGGAAATAAACCCAGATATTGTGATGCTTACTTAACTACAAAATTCCTCCCTCTCCCTCAGATAGGGAATAAAGTAGATGTTCACCTTTACTGATGTTCTACTGTAATTATTTTTTATGGCAATTCTCCTCCATTACTTAGAGGATCATAATGGAATAAATAGAAAAATGAGCTCAAGCCTGAGTATTCTGCGTTGTAATCTAAATTAAACTAGTATTACAAATTTGTTTACATATCTCAGTTGAGCTATGCAGTTTCAAAAGTTACTTGCTGAACGTAAACATGTCTCCTGATGCTACATTACCCACTATATGCAGTAAAATATATTCTAATGTAATACAATAAAACTGAAAAACCAATAAATGTTCCTATTTATTGAGAAATTGGACAAAAAATAGCTTATTGTCAGTTTTTAAAGACTGAAAATCAATAGATGATGAAAGGTTGTATTTTTTGTTACCATTAGACTGTTGACTCTAGCAATAAGTGAGATATGGATTACAAGTGGGGAAGTAAAGAACTTGTGAGGTATACAATTTGGAGCTTCTTGGGTTTCTCAGAAACTCAACGCTGAGTATTTGTGCAGCAGCGGCCATCTTGGCACCACTGTTAATGGGCCTCAAGAGCATAGCTCCTCCATTTTGTTGACAAAGCCAGCTTTAAGTGTCTTCCTGTCTTTAAGAGCATTTCCAAATTAAGGGGGCTCTTAATCAGACTTGCATCTGCTAAGGATCATGACTAAAGGAGATCCAGCTTTCACATATATTCACATCCTGCCAATCAAAAAAAAAAATCCTCAGACAACATGATGAAACCCCAGCTATTGCTGTCCCACCTCTCATGGGCCTGGATTGAGTCCACACAGCTGAGCTCCAGAGTGGGCTCCCCGGGTCTGGCCCCCAGGCCCTGTGCAGTCCTCACATAACAACAAACATAGCCCCACGCTGGACGGAAATTACATTGAATCGGATGTCCACTTTGCAAAGACCTTTAGCTCTCACGCATTTCTGAGCCTGCTGTCCTTCCTCACATGTGTAAGGTTTTCGACATCTGGGCCCTGAGTGCAGAGGTCCCATTCGAGTCTGCCATCTACACGTGGCTGAGTTTTACCCTGAAGATATGGGCGGAGAGAGGTCTGGAAAACACAGATTTTAAGCACCTGTTTTCCCAGTAGAATTTATGCATGGGAGTCAGTTTAAAACCTGAATTTCTATATTCATTAAACAAAAAGCGCACAACCGTGCAGAGGCTGCGAAGGCATTCTTGTCTCACAGTGCAAACACGTTAAAATGGAATACTAAAAAAAAATATGCAGTGATAAAAAACACTGAGCTAAACATAAACACTGCATCCAGAGTCCTTAAATAGTGATCTGTGCCAAAGTTTTTCCAAGAGAACCAGTAGGTATGACCATTACATATAAACCCAAATATAGATGTTCTACCCTGACTATATTTCTAAACTCTGTAACAGAGTTTGAAAAGATGCCAACTATAATAGGGAGTTAGGGCTGCTTTTAGGATTTATATTCTCTTTGTACATTTCATAATCATACAGCAGCTCAAATCTGAGGGTAACGCAGTAAAAGCCTATACTGCCTTCAGATACACAAATGTACTTCCCTGTAAAAGTGGACAGTGACCACTGGGCCTGCATGTGACAGAGAACTAGTAAAGTCAGCTCATGACCTTGCGCAGTACCTGATTTTACAAGTGCACAGAGGTGTGCAATTGTAAGTCTACAAAAAGAAAAAGTTCCAAGACCTTGAACGAGCTGAGAGTGTGCAGAAATGGCCACCCTACTGCTGGCCCTAGTCCTGCACTTCCATAATGTGCAACTTTTGCTTCAAACTGAGGAAAACACAGAGATCAGTGATTTTCATATGGTTTCTTCTGTTTTCCCAGGTAGAAAGCTAGCTAGCTATTTGTAAAAAGGGGGCTGTTACCACATATGCATAATCACATACCAAAAAAAGATTCATGTTGTTCTTGTAAGCTTTTGCTTAAGTATACCATGGAAAATAACTTTGATGAAATAATTTGCCCAGAGCACTGCTTGTCTGGAAGATTTCTATAATTTAACTGCAGTTCTGTAAATAATTTGGTGATAGACAGGCCATCAGCATAATTTGGTGCTAGACCCATGCAACATTAAGGAAATGGCCAGCAGGCCAAAAATTAAATCTCAGCTGGGTCCTAGTATGTACAATGCCCATTAAAAAACAGTCCAAATCTATTCTTTTTTGGAATCTGGTTATTCAGTTTAAAGGAAGACACTGAATTTTGCTTTGGGAATTAACACAAAGAAATGTCATGCTTCCTCTCAGTGAAGAAAAGATCACCTACATACGGTTAATCCTGCAGATCTCCATAAAGACATACAGAATTTTCACATGATAACAACACAAACTACTACGACATCACAATTATATAGCAAAGCATTTTGTACTGCTACTGAACTACCGGTAACTTTCACCAAAGTCTCTCAGGTCTCCGGTGTTGTTACCCTATAAACTAGCAAAAGCTACTGCCCTGATTTTTAGTCAAGCCTTAACTGAGACCGCAAGATAAGAGGTACAAAATTGTATGCATGGTACATTGCACCTTTAATCATCTACCTACCTGAAATACTCAAGCAAGTAGTTAGACATCTAAATGTTCCAATTACGGGTTTAAAATAAATGAGTTTTGTAGTACATGACTGTGTCCACATTATTTGAAAATGGGTGTTCACATCCCCTCTCAATCTCAGTATCGCTTCAGCCACAGGCAGATCAGAAAGTCAAAGTTAGTAGCAGAGCCAAGATCAGGCATAAGATTTAGTATTTTGGCTGAAAAAAAAGGGGAGAACCAATGACTGCAGGACACTTCCCCTTCATGCTTCATGTCTGAACAATCATTTTTCCATCAGAAATGTCCACAATCAGCATTTCCTTCCTGCATCATCAGATTGTAAACCAAGATGTTCACTGTGGCTGCTGGAAGCCTCCTATGAGTTTTACCAAATGAGAAGGAAATGGCAGGGAAAATAATATACAAAACAAGGCAACAAAGCCACCCCTCTCAGCTCTACTGAAAAAAAGGCCTCAAGAAGCAGACACATTTATACCTCTTCTTCAACTGAAAAACAGAGAAGGAGGTGAAGTAGATGGGTTAAAAGCCAGCAAAGAGTAGTATTAAAAAAGCCCACCAGGTATTGTTGCAAGAACCTCTAGATAAGCATCTTAAATCAGGGTAAATTACACACCTCATGCTGGTGACTCGGTCATGGGAAATTATGAAGCTACGTGATGTCTCATTTGTTGTGCTGAAAACAAATGTAAATAAATTACTGAGAGAATCTCATTTACATTTAGAAATTCATCCCGATGCATGACATGACTGCTGATGTTTTTTTAAATGACACTTTGAGAAGAAGTGCCACTATTAAAAACAGATCATAGCCACCTTAGCGAGAGCCTGTGCTTGTATGCATGCACGTGTGTGTGCATATGTGCATGAGTGTGTAAAGGCAGATGTTCGAGACATCTTTTGGATCATTGGGAAAAAGGCTTTCTTTTACTGTTTCAGAATCAAAATGGTGGTGTCAGAAGACAAAACCATCAATCTGTATTCTTCTGTGCATTTTTCCCCCTCCAGAGTGGGAAACAGAAAGACAACATTATGGATTGGCTGCTGCCAGTACAACAGAAAGTGCAAATACTAAAATCGTAGGAACAGAAAATAGTGTGGCACGTCTCTCCATCATCAAGTGTAATAAAACTTCCCCTTAGATACACACACAAAAAGCCTTTTGCTAAGCTTTTATCTCCCCCCTCCAAGTCTCACATTTTAAGCTGTCACTGAAACAATTGAGAAGGATATCCAGGAAGCCATAAGATGGAGAGCAAGTTGAACCGTGGTTAGCTAAGCAGCATACATTCAGGCAAATATCCAAATGCTTTAGGAGCTGTCATTCTCCATCCCGCGTGGGAAGGCTGCGAAGAGACGGACTTGTTCGTATCATGATTGCTCTTATTATTACAGCAGTGAAAACACTGCATACTAATGGATGTGTTTTCAGAAAGAAGACTGTTAGATGGCTTTTTAGACTCTGTGCCTGGCTGTCTGGGCTTCAGTATCCAACACTGCCTCTCCCTCTCTTTGCTTCCCAAACAGAACTCTAAAAAAAAGTTTGTAACACGAGTGTGAAATAAAACATATTTCCAAATGGGGACATGACAGTGTTCTACAACCCCACATACGGCAGCATATTTACATAAGCCTGCATAGGTCAGAGAGTTTATTTGTTAAGGGACAAATAAGCAGGCCATGAAATAATTATTTTTCATTGTGCCCTGCCAAACCTATCCAGCCAAAGGCTAAATTGAGCTGCTATTGTGATTATTTGAACTGTGGAGCCAAAAGTCTTCACTGCAAAGCATCCCAGCTGTCCTAAATTTTATTCTGATGGCTAGTTTTCACGCTAGCTTGAAACTTGCCAAAAATGCTCCACAAAATAGGCAGGCGGAAGGCTTGCTTAATCCAGACATACATCAATTACTGATTTAGAGCTGTTCTGAGAACTTGATTATTAACAAATCACTTCCCGAAATTGTTATGACAAGATTCACATATGCAAATGGCAAGCTGCTCATATGTACACAGCTAGCAAAAGAAATTAATACAAAGGTTCCCAGATTTATTTATGGTTATTTCCTATTGTGCTTTACTGCAAATTAGCCACTAAAATATTAAAAGAGAGAGATCCAGCTGCAGCACCACAGCTTTGACATACGGTGACATGGGAACACCCAGGCCATAACGGCTCAGCATGCTCCTGCCTTTGCCCACCTCCCTGCGGAAAAGGATGTACCAGTGCTTTCTGGCATCAGAGGAAGCAAAACCACCACGGTGGTTCCCAAGCTGCAGATTTGGTCAGCACACCAAGGAGCAGGTAGGATTACCCCAGGAACAGCCCAGATCACAGGCTTGGGAGGATATTTCATACTTTAAACAAGGTTGACGGTGGAGGAGGGGGAACAACAAATATATTTTTTTAAACCTCCTGCTTCAAAGCTTAAATTAATCCCTAATAATGAAAGATTAGGATGAGAATGTGTAGAGAGAAGATTATCCCATGTCTGCCCATTGTGAGGCTCTTAGAGCTTTCCTTGAGGCGCCTGGGGTTGGTCATTGCTAGAGACAGAACAGGAGGCTAGAAGGATCTTAGGAGCAATTCATTTCATACTTTCTGCATTTCTGTTTAAATAACTAAGACACAAAGAAAAGACAATAAGGCTAATTGTTTTGAAGGCAGCAGACTTATAAATAAATGAAACGCCCATCATTTGGTATGAGGTACATCATTTGGTATCGCAACCCCGATGAGACAAGTGCACCTCGCTGCAGCTGCCCTCCTTCTCCTCCACACCTCCTACTATTTTTTATCCTGTTTGTAATTTCACTGTAATATCCTCAGGGCAGCAACCACTCCACATTTACACATGAATTAGAACAACACCTCGCACAATGGCATACCAGTCCTGATTGGACCTGGACTGCTCCTGGGAATGCTGCTGGGAATGCTACTATAAAAAGAGCTCATAAATGTATAGAGTACAGCACAGTAACACACACACACATACCTTTTATCACAGTTAACGTCGCTGGAGTGTTAACTCTTTGTTTTCCCAATAAAACTGCAGATCATTTCATTTATTTCTAAGCCCCAAGATGGCTGCAGGATGTGTAGCTAAGATCCAGCACACCTTCACCAGCATACTCTGTGAAGTTAGGTGTTTACTATGGATGTCTATATTTACTATTTAACAACATGGCAGAAGTGTTATGGAGTCTCATTACAGATGTAGAAGCATAAGTTGAATCTTGCTTAGGATTTGGATGGAAGCTACGTGATCCAGCTACAAGCTGGGGACGTTCAGGCTGAGGAACCAAATGAACCCACATCAGTGTCAGCCACATGATCCCTGTGCACCCCTTACAAACCTACTGTGTCTTAACCTGATTAGCCCAAATTCCCTTCTAATTTCCTTCCTTCCTTCCTTTGAGTATTTTAATACATTCTGGAATTTGAAATTTTGCATATAATAAACTACATATTTTCTGGTACTTCAGATATAAACAACTCCAATACATAATTTCAATTTAGTGTGGAACTGAAAATATAACAAGTAAAAAGATTTGAAAATCTTTATCAAAATAGTTCCATTTTTCCTAACAATTCTGACACATTAATTATTTTGTGGGACTTTTTTTCCCGAAGGACTATGAATGGCCAACATGGTTTACAAAGAGCAAAAAGAAAAGGAAAAAAGTGTGTGCAGGTACAGTGGCAAATCAACAAATTACATGAGTACATGCATAAATTCAGGCACCTGAGCCCTCTTCAAGGTCAAGTTCCATGTTGTAGTCACTCATTCCAATATTTAAAATCTAGAAAAAAATGAAAGAAGTAGCCAAAATGTAAAATATATAAAAAATCTTAATTAGAATAAAATGGCCACTTTGCCAGGCCTGTATTCTATGTTTGCATGATATCAGAAGTTCACTTAAAAACCTACCATACCGACTACAGCTGTTGGCAGTCATATTAATCTCTCTCTCTGAAAAAAACTACAAATGACTTTTTGTTGACTACCAGTTGACGGACCTCTTATTTACCAGACTAAAAATTCTACACCATCAAATTCTGTGGAAAATCCAAGATCATAATTTCTTTTTCTCTGGCTCCTAATGGGTTGGTAGCATTATAGGGCCTTCATGTGCTTTTCCACAAAACCTTGCGCTCAATGCAAATTTTGTCTGTGACATAACTAGGGAGAGTTTCTGTCTCATAGAACGTGACCGTCATCGTTGGACATTCTCAGTCTGAGCACTTCAGCTTCTCTATGAACTCTCCCGCAGCTCATGACTTAACTCTCATTTCTTTTGCCCAGTGCACCCACGGCTCTGACCAAAGCAAACTCTACCCAGCGTCACACTTCCATTCAATGGGAGGAAGGATCATTCAGGAATGATCTTCTTACTTCTACAAAAACAGTAAGAGACCGTGGTCTATATGGAATAGGCTATTGACAACCCTGCACACACTCAGTCATAGTCAGATATGTGACAAAGTCCAACGAAATCCTATTAGGGAATAATACAAATGACAGAGCTTAAAGAATACAGTTAGCTCCTAATTAAACAGCCCATAAATCTGTTCAGAACTTGCAGAATTTATCACCAGAACAGGAATCTCAAGACCTTTTACAGAGTCTCAATTTAACAGACCTGTTGTCCACTGAACCAACAACTCTGTTGCTTACAGATGAGATGTTTCACCAACTTAAGTACTATTAAAAGATGATTATGCACTGAGCTTTCCTGAAATTGTATAACATTTGCATGGTATAACACATACTCTTACTCGTTGACTGCAGTCTGATTCAAAGTGCTATAAATATGTTTGCCCTTTCTGCTAAGCCCGCCTAAGGGATTAGCAACCCCCCAAAAGTTCAGTTGAATATTAACTGCATTAACTTTGCAGACTGTAACATACTGTTACACTCAAACAGCCTACGGTGCAGTATGGATGACTTGCTTAATAAAAAATGTTTTCATGCAAAGCCCTATTGCTAGAAAAAAAGAATTTGCTCTGTCAAAGTGGGTGACCTCTTCCATGTAACTTCATAAAGCAAACAAATAAAAGGGAGATCTTTACAGGGATGTCCAGAGAAACGCTCATCATTCTGTCTGTCAAACCAGACGGACTTCCCTTGGCAACTCAGTACCAGCTCCACTCTACATCAGAAATTAGTCAGTTCACCATGGAAAAAAAACGTGAAATACAGTAGCAAAATGTCATTTACTATAGTAGTATGAACTTAAAAACTAGAAAGGAAGAATGACTGTTTGCTTAATTATTTTGTTAAGTAATGCTTTGCATGCCAACTCCCATAAAACCCACGTGTGCCGAAAGACTTTCCAGCACAAAGTTATATAGCAGTGAAGACAAAGAAAAGGAACAGGAAATATTTAAAAGTTGGAAGAGGGAGAGTCAATAGGAGTGTAAAAGGGAGCTGACTTGATAGCTAATGCCAGAAGCCAAGGAAGAGCAGGTTCTCAAACTTCCTAAGTAAAAAGGTCCCAGGCAGAGGCAGAGGGTAACCGGCAGTATGTGATCAAAAGATGGAGAAAGGGAAGGAGAAAGAGGAAAAGGAGAATGGCTGGGACAAGTTTCTGAAGGTTACAAGGTATAAAGTGGGACCAGTAGAGTTGCTTGAAGTATCCAATAGATTGTTAAAATACTTTTAAAGATTAAAAAAACCTCCTTCATTATAATCGCAGTAATACAAAAATGTAGAACATGTCTATTATCAGCTGAAAACAGAAATTGCATAATACATTTTCTTTGCTTTTATAAAAAATAAATAGATGAAACAAACCTTTTCTATGTTGCTGTGGGAACATGCAACAACTCTCAAGAAGACCTTGACACTGAATGCCGCAATGAAACCTTTCTCATTCAGTCTTCAATGATCATGTATGTATCAATTTGTAAAAATGCACTCTCCCATATGAAGAGTCTTGGGTGTGATCAGAAACCAAATCAAAACTTTAAGAATTAGAAAGCATATTTCTCCATAATGCTGTACACTTACTTGCTTCTGCCATTCACCATCACCGTTACGTTGTCTAGAAACGGAAACCAACAATAGATGTTGGTAATTACGCAAGAACTTAAACTGCAGAGAGCCTCAGACCACAGCATTAAACTGGAATTAAAGCTTTACAAGAATGTTTCACTCCCTGCAATCACCTCCCTCCCCTACACACACACACTGTACACCTGCTACCCACCAGCCAGATGGGACTGAATTCTCCTGAATCAGATCATGGATTTTTAAGCTCAGCTTGAGTTCAACTGGATTTCAAGACATCAAAATATATTACCATTTCACATTTAAAAAATTACATCGGTGTCCAGGAACTCCTAGTTTCAGTGTTGTTTGCACAATTAAGTATGTATTAAAGTGGGATTATTGCCCCAAATGTACTAATACAAATAAATAAAATGCAGCTTTGCAACAACTTTTAATTTAATTATATATGCTCACTTAATGCGTGTAAAACAGAAACAAGCTGATTTTACATCATCATTGTGTTAAGCAAGATGGGGAATTTAGCTAATCCATAGTGACCAGCAGTGTTTTTTTAAAAGTCCATAAAGGCAATTTAGCAGCCCAAACTCACTTAAACATTGTAGGAACGGGCCCTTAATGCACAGGTATCATAAAATATTAACACGTGTTAAGAAAAAACTGGGAAGCATTATATTCCTAGAGAATTTGCTAAGCTTGCATAACGTAACATTTATCATCAATAAAGTTTCTTCAGCTAAGAGACCTCTAGCCTGTTCTTCAGAAGGAGGTCTCTTTCTCTCTCTTTCTACTCCAGCATCACAGCTCCACTAAGTCCCTGTTTCCTGCACTTCAGTAGGCTGCTTGTAACTGGCAAACTGACGTTTTTAATCAGGACTGGCCTCCGAACTAGTCTTTCTCTTCCTTTTCCATCGGTCCTGAAACCAATTTGAGACTTTCAGGGGGTTAACAAGTCATTGGCCAGCAGCAAGACGTTCTCCGCAGGGACCACAGGCATCTGGAAGCTGCTGCCGGTGGTGTTCCGCCAGAGCCGTGTCTGGCAAGCGCCGGGGCGCAGAAATGTGAGTCCTGCTTGCTTGGCCAGCCTTGGACTGACCTTTAGTTGTAATGGGGAACAGGAGTTTTGTTAGTGAACACAGAGTTCTGGTCTACACATTTTTTAAATTGATTATTTTATTGATGTAAAGTGCCCAGGTGCCCTCATGACAGTCACTAATATAGATTTTGAAAATAAAATTAATTAAGGGCCAGTCTGGACCACCTTTACTGTCATCATGTAGTACCCTTTTCTACAAGTAACAATGCTATCAACCAGCGAGCACAAGTATAGTGTTTTGTAGAGTATTTCATTACATCTGAAAACGCTTGACTATGGAGGTCAAGATCACTGTCACCTATCTACGCGCGCGCATGCACACACACGCACTCTCTCGCTCTTCTCTCCTACCTTCCAAAAGGGGAACAGAAGCACAGAAAACTTAACCGACAAAAGTCCGTGCCGGAGTGCCAGCTGTGCCGTACCAAGCCCTGTCCCTCCAGACGGCAGCGAGAGCGTGGCAGGGCGCGAGCCTGAGCGGGAGCAGAGCAGCCTGGCACGCAGGCTAATCTGAATTACACTCATCCAGCCTTTGAAATGGCTCCTCATTAGCTGCGGGTTAATGGAGTCCCAATGAGTAGTGTTATTTTCATCCCCTGCCTACTGAACACAAAATTCATTTGCAAATATCCTGTAAAATACTGCAAAGCAAGCCAAAGAGATATGACAACATAAGAGGCATACTATTTATGGAATGCACTTACCGTCATTTAGAAAAGGAAGCTGACATGAGCAACAGCCTAAATTTAGCAACACATTTAGTTTTTATTCACCAGTCACAATGACAACATTTTAGAAGGCTACCGCACACCTTGTGCGCCGAAAAGATTCCACTGAAATCAAGACAGACTTTGATCTGAAAGGAATTCGGGATCAGCTCCTTAATGAATACAACACTGAGTTAAATTAAGGCAATCACCATCTTGACTTTCTATTCCAAGTAGATATAAAATTACATTGATTGCAGGAAATGGTGGCATTCAAACAATATTGCAATGGCCGAAGCCTGAAAGCTAAATTCATTGTCGAGCTAAACTAGGCTTTCAGAGGGCACCATTTGATTTGAGGGAAAAAAGCATCTACAAACCACATATTTTCAATTAATAGTTTAAAAGGCACAGAGTAAGAAAGGAAAAACACTGGTCAATATGCCACATGCCACTCAAAGGAGCAGAGTCTCTGCATGTAGATACTGTGTATACATACATATACAGGTGGGTGCACGCATGTGGTTTGGGGGTGGGGGGGGTTAAGGCAGGCTGTACTACAGAGGCCAAATTTGAGATCCAGAAAGATGCAATGTATTTCAGAACAACCTGAGAATGCTCTTTTATCCACGCTATCTTAATTCAAAAGTAATTTCAACTCAACAGCACGTGAAGTTAAACCTAGTTCTCTTGAAAACTCAGAAAAAGAATTAATTCGAACCCTTACCTTTGGCACCTTAAAGACTTTTGGCCATGACTTACCTGTATAAATAGAAAGAACTAATTTACTACAGAAATGCCCATGGGCAAACATGTTCTGGCTAATGAAGTGTTCAGCTTTTGCATGATTAACCAGCTGGTGGGGGTGGTGTAAAAATCACAGGGCATAAAATAATAAGAAAAATTGATTAGCAGCTCTCTTTTAAAGCACTCTACGAAAAATTTCCTTATTTTTGCTCAGCAGTTAGGAAAGTGACTGTACAGAAAGATAGACTCGAATGACTTACCAAGGAGCCAGGCAGAGACTGCACCAGGCACTCACTCCTCCAAGACCTGCATCGCAGAGAGGTTCAAGTGAAAAGCGAGATACTAACCAGCGGCATGGCTGGATTACTTATACAACAGGTCCTCCCACTAGTCATAAAGGTAATTTTCTACTATATTGCGAAAGACGTTATATAAAGTTAAAACTATGACTGTGCTTTGAGTCAGTTCAGTTTCTTCCCCAGAGCTCTACACTTCAGCACCTTAGCTGGTTACAGCTACTCCCGTGAGCCAATTTACGAAGTGCCTCCATACGAGTCAAGGGATTCATATGCTACTTAGAAATAATGCACACATTTAAGTGATGCTACGTAAAGAAGATGGGTATTGCACTCACTAGGGACAAAAATCCCCTTGCCCTTCCCATTCTGTACAAGGGGTTTTTTACAAGCTCACATGCTCTGCCCTCAAAATAGGACCTAATTAGTGTACAAATACTTGGCAGACAGGTCACGAAAATAAATTTATCATTAACTGTCCCCTAAACCAATGCATGTTATCCTGAAGCAGTTTTACTTCATGCACATTTGCTCTAGGTCCCTTCAGCTGGGGTGCAACTGGCATGTAACAGTTTCTATAAGAAGGAGAAATACATAGTTTTATGGCACGGGATTACTGCAGAAATATCAAACAGCTGCTCATATAAAGCATATGCACCAGTAATAAGAAACTGCAAAAATTTAAGCTATAGATAATTTGCAATAGGCCATAGTAATAGTCACAGTCATCTTACCTTCATTACTTCTATGGAAAATGCATGTTTTATACCTGTTTATGGACTTTTAAAAACTGGTTTATAGCTATGTACCACAGGAGAAGTGGGCAGAGGAGCTGCATCTCAGGGATCTGCAATGTGTGCCAGCCCTGCGGATGCAGCCATATCTTCGATGCTGGGACTTCATGGGTTGGGAACCTACATTAACTCCCTTTGGCAATATACAACCATGGTTGATTTCTAAATGCAACCAGATATTGCCTCCCAGAGTTTCCCCTCTCATGGTATATGATGGTATATGATATACCTCCATATGCCCAGCTACCTGGATATGAATTCAGTTATTAAACCACGCTGGTATATGTGCATGCTGTGGCTCAAACTATTCAATCATACCATGGAGTTCTTTGCGAGAAGTAACAATTTTACCTGAAGAGAGAGTTATTGTGAGAAGAACCAAAGCAGAACTCTGAAGCCCTTTTTCCTTCTTTCCACAACTCCTCCATTTATCTTAATTACCACTTTCTGAGGAAGACAATATCCCTTTAAATGCACCAAAGCAGAGACTTTTCCATGCTGTTTCACTATAGGAGCCAGGCAGATTATCCTGAGAATGGATCCCTTCACACATACACCATACACTCCACTTCACCCAAAGATTCACACCAAAGAACCGGTCAGGCTTATGCAGGTTAGATAACTCTACAAATATTCCACAGATGTCTTCCTTTCTTATCACGTACATCTGAGAAAGCTTGTCACTAACTTCATGGTCAGTCAAGACTTCTGACATCAAAGAGGTTTTTGCATGTCTCTGAGGCATTGCTGGATAGGTGGATCTTTCTACACTTGCATAGTTCTTGCTTTTGAGCCTCTAACCTTTTGGAAACCTTTCTACATATTAACACTTAGGAAAGTGGGCACTGAGCTGACACAAGCAAACAGAAATAGAGGAAAACTGAAAACACTGGTATGAAGCAACATTTCCCTCAGTACATCAGTTGGGAAAGTGCTATCTCCAGATAGAATTCACAATAAAACAGAAGTTTCCAGTTAAGCGAGAAGCGGTATTAAATTCCACTTGAGTCTAATTTCTATGCTCATATTTGAATCATGAGCAATTTCTAAAGTGTTAGGTATTTCTAACTCTGATCAGCTGGGACCCTGACAATGCTGGAGCTTGTAACCTCTGTTTGAAGCTATTTTCAAAGATGGTAACAGCCTAATATGGTTACAGCACAGTTTATTAATTGCACCTGTACTTGCTAAGAAATTATGCTGTGGACCATCTAAGTAACATCATAATTTTGGCTAGCCTACTTGTTTAAAAAGGGAAATTAAAAAAAATGCCTTTTTGCAATAGAAAGTGAATGCTTGTTAAAATCATATTGCCTTAAAGGAATTCAGAAACACAGCTACGAGGCACAGCTGTTTTACAGATGGAGAAAACTAATTCTTCAGGCCTGTACGTTGTACTCCAAAAGGTTTATTGAATTATCTGTTTGTTTACTTATAAGCAATAGCTGTGGAAGAGCCCCCCAGTGAGTATACACTGCGTGCTCCGTAGAGGGGTCAAGCACAAGATACAGGCTGCAGACTAGAGGTTTAACTTCAAAGAACATGCATACACAAAGGTATTTAGGTGCCTAATTCTGCTTATATCAACTCTCAGTGAAATTGATAGAGAGTGAGCACCTCTGAGGACATGATCCTTTGACATTAACATGGATTCCTCATCTGGATCCAGGTCCGAGCTTTTTTGGACAACAAAACAGCAGAAAATAAAAACCATTTTGCTCCGTGGCTTCCTTATCCTCTCCTGTATTAGAGTTTCTCTAAGGTTGACCATGGTTCCCAGTAGAGGACACAACACCCAAACAGGCCAGTCTAATTAAGTGGAATTTTTCGTACTAATTAGTAACAACAAGAGCATAAAGCAATCAATAGGACACCTTATGCCACTGCTGCTTAAGTCTGCTTTGACTACCTCTGGTTCAGCCATACCCTTGAAGCGTATTTGGAGGGTTCTTCCTGCCACCCTCCCATGCAGCATCAATTTTTAGCGAGGATAATCTTTCCTATTACACTAGAAATTGATAAGCAACATTGTTAACCTACGTGATGAAGCTAAAAATCAGGTGTAAAGAGCATATCAAGGAGCCAAAGGATTTTTTTTTAAATAAAGTATTTTGATTACCTCTAACGTGATTATATACTTGACCAATGAGTAACACAGTATGATATTCACCCTATTGCAAAAAAGTTGCCTACAGACTTGTGTAGCACACATGTCCCACTCAAGCTCGAGGGGAACCATGCTCTGTTGCTTCATTGTATGTTCAGCAACTTACTGCTAACTTTGTATGAAAAAACAACTCAATGATTTATTCAAAAGTAATTTTAAACTTCTGAATAACTTCTGAAGGACAGCTGGCAAGAAAGTAGCATGTTTTAAGAAGAGATAAATACAGAAAACCTGTAAACCATATTCTCCAATTGAGAGACCAAACTGCTAAAATTAGTTCCTGGAATTTCTCCTTTGGGTGCCAGTTTGAGTCTTGTTCCAAATGACCACTAAATCACAATCCTCCTGACTTTGAAATACTCCACCACTAGTCAATAAGACCTATTTGCTGATTAGGTACATGCAACCCCCTCACAAAACATCACATATTTGTAACCTTATTTTTAAAAATGCACTTTTGTTCCAGTGTCCTGAAACTAACTGTACAAACACAAAGAACTCAGATGCCCTCTCAACCCCCATTGGAAGTGACAAGTGAGTCCTTCTAAAATTGCAGACACAGGCTGTCAAGTGCAGGTGTTTGTAAACAAGTTTGGAAATGTTTCTAATTATAAACCCTAAGAGTTAAAATTAGAAGTCCAATCTGATAGCTTTAAAAAAAGAACTTCCAAAAGGGTTCATCTAAATGAGAGCAACCAGTGATGTTTAATTTAGTCGCAAGAGCAGAATTTCGGTGCAGAGCAGCATACTGCTCTTCATCAAAGTTTCCACTATGAGTTACAGTACATTTCTTTAAAAAAAAAAAAAAGAAAAAAGGATTTGATAAGAATTTTAATTTGCTGTCATACTATGACACTGTATATTTGAATGTGCAATCTAAAAATACCCTATTCACAGGTCTCCTGCATTTCATATAATTAAGAAGAAGAAGAAAAAAAAAAATGTTCCCAAAACTTCTGAATCTGTCTTAGCTGCCAACATCAAAGTTCAGCTTTTACGGGGAACTTCCCACGCTGACCTTCTGAGAACTCAAACCAAACCCTGCTTGAAGGAGCCTCACTCCTCTGGATGAAGTTCTCCCTGATGAGCTCACCTACTGCAAAGCCCGGCTTACCCTGCCCTGGCACAAACTGCCGAGGGATGAAACTGGGGAGGCCAAAATCATCCCAGAGGTCTGGCTGATGCAGATCTCGGGATGCTGCCACTGAACGGGTGGTGTCTCAGTCTTGCCTTCGCCACCCTGGTGCGGAGGTCAGAAACGTAGCTCTGAGGAGCCACGTACTTTGACTGACACATCAGACAGAGGTTAGAGGGAGGCTAATCCTGCAGTCCTTGTACACCCCTAATTGCATTTACAATGCACTGTCATAAGACAGTGCAGGCAAAAAGATGGACTTTACCTCTGCAGAAGCTTTGTGAGACAGCAGAGCTTTTAGCAGACTCAAGGGGAGATGGCACTCTTTTTAGGGGAAAAAAAGGTTAATGCTGGAATCCCTTGATCTTCACATTATTTCTTAAGGGAAACATAAAGGCACATTTGAGCATGTCAGAATAGCTTCGGCTGACTACAAGTAAGCAAACGTTAAATAATTTCAGAGAGGTTTGACTACGGCCTCGCCTCAAGCAAGGGGTGGTGTCTTGCTGCACTGTCCTGAAAAAGCTGGAAGGGGAAATGGATTAAGCAGTGAGGACCTGCTCCAGGAACAAGGTGGGACTGGCCCTGCCCAGCACACATTCCTCTACTCCCCACCTGCAGCACAGGCAGGGGCTGTGAGGTGCAGCGGAGCAACAGCTCTTCGGCCCCTGCACAGCCGGCCTCCTCCTCCTCCACTGGGATGTTATATGACAGAGGAAAAGCCCAAACCCATCCTCCTCAAAAACCAGGACGGAAAGTAAGTTGCCCTTGTCCCATCACACTGAGGGAGCTATTTCACATAATAACCACTAGCCAACCCTTCCTTTTTCTTCCCTTCCTTTTCTTTTGTATTCACTGTGTAAAAATAATAGCAGTTTCCACATCTTTTCCGGGCAGCATTTTGGAACTCACTGC